TTGTTACTAAAGATGCTGGTCACAGATATTCATGGCTGTTGGTCATCAGTATTACTCCTGTTACAGGTCTGAAAGCTCTCATTTATTTCAAATACCATGTGTTTCTTCTCATGTCTGGAATAAAGGTTGAGAAAGTTTATTCTGTTCTTCTGCAGAATTGTTAAGCTCTGTGGGAATGTGTGTTTGGGGTTTGGAAGCAGGCTTTTCCTTTGGCCCAGCTGCAGATATGCTGTGTACTGTGAGCCAGAACTTGAACCCCTGAGGTTCTGTAGGGTGATAAAAGTATAAAGTGTATCACTGAAGTAATATCTGCTGGTTGAGGAAATACAGTGGAGGAGAAAGGGAGGTAAAAGAATTCAAAGAACCATTCAGCATCTATTCTAACTGGTAGTCCTCATTCTTTGTTTCCCCAGTATGCGCTGGGCAAAAGCAGTCAGGCTACTTGTTCTGTCTTTTCAAACTCTGAATGTCCAAAAATGAGTGAAATGAATATGAAATGAGTGGACTAACTTACTGATTGGCTCTTTCTTCATAATCTTAGAGGGGGGAGGTTTAGGTTTGTGGTTGTTTTTTTTCCTGCTATAATTTAAACCTCAGTTCCATTGATATTTTTGAATCATTTTTAGTGTTTCACAAGGTGGAACACTGAGAGAGAGAGATTATATATATTCCACCTTGTAGAAAAACATGAATTTAAGCTTGGTGGAGAGTGAAGCAGAAATATCTACATAAGCATAAGTAGTTTTGTAAATGGCTGAGCACCTGAATAGATGGAAACATCACCAATAATCAACACACATTCCACAAGTGAATTCGGTCAGTGGAAAGAGCACTGCAATAGCCATTGGTGCACAAGCCTTCTGGGAGGGAGGTAGGATTTTGTTGGTTTATTTAAGTTGGAAAAGAGTCCTAAGATCATCCTTTGACTGAGCATTCAGATACCTTATCTGGTCAGAAATGTTGGTTGTTCAGAGAAACGTACAACTCAGGGCACCAGCAATTTGGGAGGGAGTAGAGAGCTGCTTATGACATTTACTCCTTTTCCTAATTGAAAGGGAAATTACAAATTCTGGTACTTAACTGTTCATTACTGCACTCTGCCAACAGAGAGGCCATTTATCTGTGTATGCTGGGCTCTCTCTCATCCTCTCTTTAAAATTATATTGCTTTTGTTCTCACATTCCCTGTTTGGCTCAGCAGTACTTCAGACCGTTCTAGGTTTCGCCCCAGTCACTTCTATGGTGATAGGTTGATATGAAAAGAAGGACTGGTCTGCCTTGGGAGCACTTACTAATGTATGCTGTAAGCCACTCTAATCAGACATGCTGTTATTTTTTTTACCAGACATAGTGCTGCAGGACATGAAGAGAAAAGCCAGGCTTCTCTGTACAGTCACGCAAGGGCTCTGTATCCCAGAACTTAAAAATCTGCTAAGCCATCTCGCCAAGCCCCTTCAAGCCTGGTGTTTTGTTTCCTGCAGCCTTTCTTCCCTACACTGGTTGAAGTCTCGTCCCAGCTGCGTCACACAGCATGCTTCTGCTGGGCACTTGGGGGGCTGCTTGTTTCAAGTTGTGTTGGCAGGATTTGCTGCTCTACCAACAGATATAGCTCCCTTGTTTAAAATACATTAGAAGAAAATGTTCTTAAAATACTGACGTTATATGTTCAGAGTGCTCTGTTTGTCAAGGGTTAAGTTGCAGTACACTGTAAGTGCTACCTTTTAAATTTCCTGGTACAATTAGTATTCTATTTCCACTGTCAGTCAGAACCTTAATTTCATCTATACCATCTATATAGATGATATATATAGGGTAAAGAACAGGGAACTTTGAATGACCTCCACCAAACAAGATGTTTGTACATGTACCAGGTTTGTTCACCAGCTTATTTTGCAGGACGTCTCTAAAAGCAGATGTTGAATTGTTATCTTGTAAGGAGAAGGATATGCATGTAAATGACTTGGCAGTAGGACAATTTAGAAAAGACTCCGTTACAGTTCGTTAGTAGTAATAGCAGCAGTAAAAATTTTTTCTTTTTTTAGAACTGTGGACCATGAGGAAGGGTGAGCCCATCAAGACAAAATCAAATCAGCTCAACAAATGTTGGTAGATACTGTCTAACTTGCTCTTTACAACCTGCAGAACACCTCATTCATACACTCAGAGTTGGTTTTGCCACTCTAACGCTCCTTTCTATAAGTCAACAGGTCTTTCTTATGCTGCCAATTTGTGAGTAACTCTAAATGTTGCTCATAAACAGTATACCAGGGACATAGGAGATGCCCATGTTCATTACCACTCTTTAAATGGAGATTATTAAATAAAGCACGCTCCACTACTTGCATACTGCATTTCCTTTAGTTGAATAAAATGAGCTATAAAGCAAAGAAGCAGAGACTCCTTTTACTTAGAGGTCAGAAAAGCAAAAATAAGGTAGCTTCAAAGAATTCGTGGCTGTGAGCTATGCTTTTTCATATTGCACAGGTCTGTGGAAGTCAGCCTAAAAATACAAGAGCATTTGCTCAGAAAGATGCTAATTTATCCCCAGGCTCCCAAAGAGCTAAGGGTTTTGTAATGTGCGTCTCTGTGAAGTGTTTTGATTTCTGCAGCTGTAAAGTGCTCTGGAAGCAAAGTACTACCGTATTGCTAACACTTCTGAGATTAGGTAATTCAATGTATTTGGCTCACTGAAAGCAGAACAGCTCATGCAGCTTTGCCTGCCTGTCTCTGAGATTCAGAATCTCCACCGTAATGAGGTAAGTAAGCCTGTGGAGTGCAGGAAAGGAAAACTGCTAATCAGTTAGTCGGGGATTTCCTCTCCTGCACTGCTGATTGCAGAACAAGTCAGTCAGCCTGATGCTCAACAAATGCTTCCTGCCAAAAGAACTTGTCTTTAGCATGTGGGAGTAAATAACCACAGAACTATAAGCCCTGTATGTTTTTGCAATCCAGCTCCCCTGGCACCAGAGGTCAGTGGCTAGCGATGGCCATTCTCACTCCATGTGTACCATAGGCCCCAGAGGCAAAGCTTAGAACCTTTTCCATATTGCCTTCAAGAATGCTCAGTGGTATCTATCCTGTGAGATGATCAAAAAATGAGAAGCTTTGCTGGGGCTGCCAAGCACATATCTAGCCTTTTGTGAGATGTTCTTTCGGTTGTGTTATCAATCTGTTTAATGTCACTGTTGTGCCCAGACTCACCTGAGCAGTGTGAAAGCACTGTGTGCTTGCGCTTTTTCAAGGATAATGAATGTAGTGAATGCCATAACAATGTGGCATAATTCCCATTCCCTGGCACACCTCCTGGAGCGTGCACCTGAAACAGGTGCTGTGGAACCCTCCTGCCCTTCTGTGTAAACAAAGCTAATAACATTCTGGGTTAAATTAGCATTAATCTGAATGCAAACAGCAAGTTGCTCAATAATGCACATTCCTCACTTTAGCAAACCAATAAATGGCCATGTGTGACCTCCCAGCTGTTCTCTTTCACACCAAAGTATGTCACCCTCAAGAAAACTTGCCATCATGAGTTGTAACCTTTTTTGTTTGCTTGTTATTAATCTGAGATGCTTAATCAGTCTTCTGCTCTCTGAGGGCTGCCTTTTGCTGTCATGATATTGCTTCTTGAGACAGTTATACTCTTGTTCTGCATAAATGCAGTTTCCCATTTAGCGGGTTGTGTACACTAAGAACCCTTTTCAGAAGGTCAAAAAGCCTGCTCATATCAGACTTCTATGCTCTGCAGACCCTATAAGGACTGATGGAGTTACCAGCCAGGCTTACCCATGAGTATCCTATTGATGGCAATGAAAGCAGTATCTCCACGCGCACCCTGCAGCATAACACAGTGACAGAGGCATCTGTATCTTATCAAGAAAAGCTACAACCGCTTGTTTATTTATAAGAAAAATCCAGAGGAAAATAAATCTGTTTACGATGTGTGCTGTTATTTAGTTGCAGTCAATAACTGTGTTTGTTTAACACTGTTCCAGATAAGACTGATTGTCTCATTAAGGGAAATGAGTCAGAGAGAATATTTTTGAATCATTTGCTATTGATTTAAGTGGTGTCACTGTATGAGGGTAGCTGGTAGTGATGAAATGGAAAGAATTCTGAAGATTAAGACATTTTGGAGGTTCAGGAAATGAAGAAATGGGAATACTCGTAGTGTTTATAGATGCAGGCCAGCATTCCTTTATTCTTTGCTCGTACCTATGACACTGATTCCCATGGTGTGTGTGGGTAAACCCCTCACCTCCTTTGTGCCCCACTTCATGGTAAAATGCAGGTGTTACATGGATGCAATCAACGATCAGCATCTCTGCATGCGGGCACTTGCTGTGGTTGTGGCTGAATTGCCTCACAGATACCTAAAAAGTGACTGCTAGTCCTTACATTTCACACTGATGCATCATGAGGTGAGTCATTCGCTGTGACTCCACCACTGAGGTAGTGGGACAGAAACAATAAGTGTGCACACAGAATGTGCAGTGACCTTCTTGATAACCTACCTGTTACAGTAACATAAATTCTTTTCCTCTCTCCTCTTAAAATTAGCAGGGACAGGAAAGCAATAAAGCACTTGAATTTCCTCAGTTGCAGTGCCAGTGGCTGGCTTCAGCATTCACCTCTCTCTCTCCCAGCTGGTTCCACTGCCCCAGTGTATAAATCAACAGTATTTCTATTTAAGTTAGCTATTAACTTTGGTGTAAAACATCTTTAAGTGAAATCAAATTTGATATTGTCAGTAAGCCAACAGAATCCTAATTTAGGACAGGAATTCTCACATTTTGCTTCTCAAAGAAACACTAATTTAAGCTTTTCTATTTCATAAGTACTTACTTCTGTCATTGTTGCTGTTTGTATGGAAACTCAGTACATGGTCATGGCGTGAACCACTGATTGAGCACCTGGGGAAAGGACCGGTCAGCCCTGGGAGCACAGGTGAAGGCAATTCAGCTGTGTGACCAGAAGGGTTGAAGTCTGGCTGCATCTCTCTCAGACCTCATTTAAGGGCTGACTGCCACTGGGGAAGGATTTCTTTCTGGAGATCCCGCTTGATGGAGCTTTCTGATGTGAACCTGAAATCTTCTGATATGGGTGAGCAATCTTCTCTTCCTTTATAGTACCTTTCTGTTGTGCTGGTTCTCCTGTCATCGCACCTCTGTTGTAATGCCTTTATTGTTGTATTCTGTCCAATTACTACACTGTTGTTCTACTGCATTTTGTGAAAGAAGAAGACTGGAAAGCAGTCAGTGCAAAATTTATGTTGTATAACTAGGCTTTAGTACTCTGTCTTGAATCAGTCTCTTGAAGAAATCAGTTCTTGGTTTGAGGAAGAGGTACTCTCATGGGAGTTTCCTTTATTCCTCTTACCTCGGGAGGGAAGGGAAAGAGAAGGCTTTTGCTTCCTGAGCTTTTCATTGAGTTTGACTTGTCAATCTTTGCTGATGTGCATCCTGGGGAAGCCCTAGAAGCAGGTATGAAGAGGTGCTTTTGTGATTAACGGGCCAACCCAAGGTAGCATTTATGACTTGCTTTTACCTTCCCCTACCAGCCTGACGTCTGTCCTTCCATTAGAGCAGACGAGTTCACAAAAAGTAAGGTCTGGGAAGAAGGCATGTTAGCATTAATGAAGGCAGGCAGATCTCATGTTAGCACTGTACCAAATTGCAGTACTGGCAGATAAAATTACTCTTGCTGCTGAACTAAATGTGAGTGAAGAATTCTGTGAAAATGTAAACAACCTCAAGTCATGATTTCTCAGGATTAGTCCCATTGTTGCAGAAATCATTTTGTGTAATTGTGTTAAATCTTGCTGCATTTACATTTATTTTAAAACTTCCAAAAATCACTTCTCCTGAAATTTAATTTTCAGATAGTCCAAGCAGAAGATAAAGAAAATACTAGCAATTATGAAAGTCTCTTTACCTGTTATTTCACGAGACTTTTTTCCTCATTTCCTTCAAAAAGAGATTTATCTTAAGACTTGTTGAAAAACAGTGAAGGTGTTGGCCATCTCTAGAAACGCTCCACAACACTTCAATGTTGATTATCCAACTTTTTTTTTATTTAGAAAACTACAGATTGTGGTGTGGTAATATGGAGATTTTTTTTCTGATTCCTAATAGATTAGAAACAGGCAAAAGAAGGGAGCATGGAACTCCTAACCACTTTTGCAAGGTGGTTCTCGAATCATCAATTTTAAATTAATTGCAGTATGTCTTTTTTGGTGAATCTCAGTATGAACTTAAGTAGAAAACACCAATATCTGTAAACTTGAAGTGTTTCTTCCTTTTAAAATAGGGATTGCATAGTTTGAATACAAGATAGTAAATGCTTTTGGAGTACTCAAGTCTTTTACCATAGCTTGATATCTATCTGGAAACAGGAAAAGGAAGGTGTCTTTGTAGGGAAAGTGTATCTGTACTGAAATTTTATTCCCAATACTGAATTTACAAAAACAGCCTGATTTACTAGGTTTAGTAGCATGCCATTTCTTCTGCAGATAAGTTAGAGAAAGCATGTAATTTATAGTGCATATTGTAAGTGGAAAGCAACTGTCACTCATTTGATATCAGCATTTTAATGGCACTTATTAGGCTTTTGACTGATTACTCAGACATCTGTAGGAGCTGAAAATGATGGGTGAAGTAGTCTGTTGGGTCTGGAAATGCTATTTAGAGCAGGAAGTTTTTGTTAAATTTCATTAAATATTCAATTTCCAGATGCATGGTTGTGAAAAGATATTGCCTTAGGAGTAGAACAGAGGAAAAGAGTAAGGTATGACCAGTGCCATAGCAAATAGAGATTCCAAGCAATGTACTTCCACAGGTTGCCAGCTGTGCTGTTGGTTCTATGTGTTGTTTTGGGCCCATGGCAGCAGCCACTGCAGAACCACCTGGACAATGGGATGCTCTTGTGACAATCTGAAATAGATGCTAAATAAAAAGTTCCCCCCCTTTCTCAATCTGTTAAAAGGCTTTGTGGGTTCGGGTTGTGTGTTTAGCACTCCAACAAGGAGCAGGCAATGCTTTATCAAGGGAAGGAATACTCTTGAAACAAACTAGTCATGAGAGGAGCGAGGTCTGTCTTCCCCTTTGCACAATTCCTCTTCTCAAAAGAAAAGGTTTCTCAAGAAACAGCAGGTCACCCAGTGCCAGACAGTCTTTTGCCACTTCCTCGTGCCTTTACTCACAAATGTGCCTGTACAGAAAGTGGGGTGCTACAGAGGTATGAAATGAATGTTGTAGGCCAACTTCTGCTAACAATACGGAGTCCAAACATCTGGATGAGCACCGTTACCTAGGAAGCTGCATTGATTTTGAAGGCTATAGGATACCAAAGTCCCTCTGTTCATAGTAACAGAACTCGTCTTGCTTCAGTGTTGGTTTTAATTGAGACAGCAGTCTGTGTATAAAGCCACCACTGCCTTTCTCAAACAGAAGATAGTCTAATATATTCTGTTATATTGAGAAGGAATCAATGACTTGCTTTTGAAGAGCGTGGCCTGAAATGCAGGTGACTATTGCATTGTACAAAAGGACTGAAGGGCTGTCAAACTGTGGAGGCTACAACTGGTTGTTGGGAACTCACTGCACCTAGGCTGACTGCATTGGTAGCATCCAAAGACCTTTCTGTGCTCTTCTAATACCAACAGCAGACAAAGTCCCGTAGTGGTGGTTTTGCCTTCTGCTTCAGTTCTTCTGTTTCAGGCTTAGTGAAACATCTGAGATAACTTTAAAAAAAAAAAAAAAGGCAAAAAAAAAACCAAACAACCTGAGGCTTAGGGGCATACAAATCAAATGTTGCTCTCATGCAGGCAGAATACATACTAATTCAAGTCTGCTATGGCTCTGAGTGGCTTGCGCAGATGCCAGAGTGGCCACAGGACCCACTGTGTGTGGGGCTGGTATACAGAGGAGGTGGGAAGGGATGAGGCTGGTGCTGCTGCTTCACGCTGCAGATCCAGAGCTGCAGCACTGGATTCCCACCTCCCTGGAGATGAACACTGGGGGTTTAATTGCAGCTTTTTTGCACAACTGTGATTTGTCTAATTACTGTGTGTTGGCTGTATCAGGCAAATCTCTTTCGCTTCCCTGTCTTCACCATTGGCTAAATATAAATCTCCTTTCCTTTAAACAAAAGATTGACCTGTGTAAGTCTAATGCAATGATTTGTGTAATGAGTTTATTTACTTTACTCCTATGCATTATAAAGTTGCTGCTTTATCTTTACACTGTGGTTTTGGTTTAAAATTTTCATAGATTGAACAAGAAACTGAATAGGAGGAAATTTCTATAGCTTGTTATCTGCAAAAATATTTTGGAGAGCAGATGATTTCTGGAAGCCATATTTAATGAATAATATTTAAAATAATACCATCTTGCTAAACTTGTTTTATAAGGGTCAACTTAGAAAAATCTCTTCTATATTGTTATGCCTACAGGATGACTGATTCTAGAGCTATAGAAAAGCAAAAGACCTAAATAAGAAATATGAATAGAAGCAAAATCTCTTGTGCCTCACATTTTGACAGTTTACATCAGTAATATGGTTTTACTGGTCCCCTTGACTCTAGTTACCTTCCAGGCAGGGCTCCGAGCTTTCAATTGAGATCATAACTGCAACTATGAAATAATCTTTAGAGACTAATATTGCGGTGTGTAAACTGAATTATTGCCATAAGTAATAGGTGGTGTTTATGAAAAGCAGATTGCACTGAGCATGTTCTGTGATTTAGGCTCTTGTCTACTGATAGTTTGTAACTTCATGTTCCCTTTTCCCTGGAAGCTTCTGGGTTTTAAGACACACCTGACTCCTACATACACTTAGTGGAGGAGGACAAGAGCAGTATAGTGACTTCTCTGCTGTGCATTTCCTTGTACCGTCTTAAATTATGTATTTTTCTTATCTTTGAATGGGAAGTGGATGTTGAAGTTTTGCTTTGGTTTGTTTTTGTTTTGTGGCATATGACTAGACCAGAAGGTTTGCTCTTTGCTAGAAAATGTTAACTGCTGCATTAGGACTGTGCTGTCTGTGCCAACAGGGTGTCTTGTTTTCACGGTAGCATGGTTGCTTGTGGTCTTTGGAAAGTGGTCTGATTTCATCTTTTGATGGTGTCAGAGCTCCATCTGGGAATGAGGTGATCCATGTTATTGCCAGTCAGCTTCTGTTACTCTGGAGGTGTTGTTCACAGAGGTTCTTTTGCGTTTCTCCTCCCTGTGGCAAAGGTAGAGCTATTTTTAAACAGCCTATCTCATGCCATGGCCAATAGCAGGCAGTTATCTGGTGGCCTTTTTTTGCTCAGGGATTTGGATGGGGTGTGTGTGCGTGTGTGTTCCAGTGGCCACTTGAGTTTGCTCTGTTCCTAAGAACATGCCTGAGATGTTGCCCACTCAGTTTTCCTGAGGAGGGCCAGTGCTGCCTGGGAGAAAAAGTCAGGCTCATGAGCAATTTCACCTGGCTAAATCAACCTGCCTACAGCAGAGCCCAAGGGACAAGCAGTTCTCATACTGTGAAGAAGGGTTGTCAACTATTTTCTTGTATCTGTCCATCAATCTATGTGTGGCAGAATTGCTAAGATCACTGCCCATATACATCTTTAAACTGGATGTAGGAAGAGCAGAAGCTTCTGTATTTTTTCAGATACATCATTATTTTGACATGCTGAAGTGTAGTCAGGCCTGATGATGGCAAGAAGTGGGTTGCTGTGATTATTTCTTGTTTCCTTTTACATTTGTGAAACATTTACTTAACAAATGGCTGGGAAACAACATCTAATTATTTTCATTTGTGAGGTTTTTTTATTACTATTAAATGGGTTCACATACAAAAAGTTTTGCAAGTTTTTATGCAAATACTGAGTTGCTCATTTTGGAGCATCATTTACTTATGCTTGGTAGGAAAAGAGAATCATTTACCCTCAAAAGGAAAACTAAAGATCTACCATTTCCTGGTGTTTGCATTTAATTGTAATTTTTTCTCCTCCTTAAATTCTTCTGGCTCTGTTCTGGAAATCAGAGTTTAAAAAGTTGTTTTAATCAACCATTTGATATCTTTTTTGTTTTGTTCAGCTACATGAGAATTTTGGATCATGT